TATTAATTTCCTCTACAACTTCATTGACTGTAACCTCACTATGGGTCAGCTCCACTGACTTGTCCCTAGAGAGGAGTGGATCTGGTGAGGGAACATCCCTAACGTCTTCCACAGTATGAACTTAGTTTCTCTGTGATGGCCCTGTCATTCTTGTGCACTCCTTTTGCACCCTGATCATCCAAAGGCCTAACTGACTCCCTGGCAGGTCTTTGGCTTCTAAGCTAAAGAAATTTTTATGGTTACCTTCTGAGTCTTTAGCAAGATTCTCCTGAAATTCTTCTTCGCTAGTCTTATTATTACACATTTACATTTGATTTGCCACAGTTTGTGCTCCTTTTTATTTTTCTCATTAGGATTTTACTTTCAACTTTTGAAAGAAAGCCTTTTTTCTGCTTATTACTTCTGCAACTCTACCATTAAACCATGCTGGCTTTCTTTGGTTTGCTTTTTTGTTTGTTTGCTTTTTTATTATATCATATTGGAGGCATAGCACAAATGTATTCTTAATCAGTTCCCATGCTGTTTGCATGTTCTTCTCCTCCCTAGGAGCCCCTCTTCAATTCTGTCTAACTAGCTTCCTCATTTTGGTGTAGTCTCCCTTTCAAAAGTTAAAGGCTACTGTGGCAGATCTTTTTCTGGTCTCCCCTTCTACGTGGATGTCAAACCTAACTGCATTGTGTCACTATTGCAAAGCGTCTCAATAACACTTACCCTGTCCACCAAGTCCTGTGTACTACTTAGGACTAAGTCAAGAATATCCTTTCCTCTTGTAAGTTCCAGGGCTAAGTACTCCGGGAAGCAGTCTTTTATAGTAAGAAATTTGTTCTCTGCATCCCGGCCTGATGTCAATGTATCTGTGGATACCTGAAGTTATCCATTATTACTGTTTTCTACTTTTATTATTATTTCATTACTGTGTTTTCAAAAGCTTTCCACCTCTGGGAAGCTGTATGCAAGACTTATCATAGCTGCAAGATCTAAGTTAGAGGTCTCTAATAGTGCAGTAGTCAGTTATTGCTACTGTTTGGTCTTTTCATTGACATTCATCTGTTAACACACCAACAGTGCTAGTTATCAATGCTTCCCAGTCCCCGGTGGTTCCAGAAACCCAATTTTGTCCTACCAACCATTCTCTAAAGCAGGGGCCAATCATGTTTTCCAGAGGTGGGCCAGAATGACCCAGTTTGGGTCTAAACTAAGCAGATGCTAGAATGCATCCACCATCACTGATTCTCCCCACTTCCTGGCTGCAGCACAGCATGGGTGACACTGCCATTGGCTGCCCAGACAGCGTGGCACGTGTAAAGCCTCCCATCACCAACACAACAGCTCCGTGGGCTGAATCTGGCCTTCATGCTATAGGTTCCCAACTCCTGGTCTAAAGGGCATTCTGATGTGGCAGTGGTTTTACTTGGAAACTAAAATCTTGGATATCTAGTCATCACCAAACAAGGCCTTTCTAAGGCTCTCTGAAAAGTACTGGCCCTGGTATCACAACCAGACCACTGCAGATTCCGAACTCTTGACAAAGAACAGTCTTGAAGCTCTGCTTCTGATTTTAGCTCATTGCCACACAGGCAAAGAAATTTTTACCCCTGAAAATTCATTAAGCAGAACTTCTAACAACTATAACCAATGAAGTAACATGCAGAGCCATGGAGAGGCATTCCAAATTCAGTTAGCATAAATGAGTCTCTGCACACACTGACTGTGTTGCAAAGGTGTGCACTGAGAAATACTGCTGGAGCCATTTTCAAAACAGACCACACTGATTTCTCCCAGCCCAGTGAGAAAAAGTTTGCTTTAGAAGAGAAGAAGTTTCTTCTGGGCAACTTAATGGCTTGTTTATGCTGGGATGTTTATTGGCATTACTTCACCAGTAAAATCATCCTGCCTACAATTATACCAGTACGAGTCCCTGTATAGATATGGAATAAGAGGTCCTTGTTTGGTACATCTTTAATTATAAAATTATGATGGTGTAACTATATTGATATAGCATTGCGAATAAACTTCTCTATGTACAGAAGACCTACATTACACTGCATGCTCAGTGTTGTTTCCTGCTCCTTTCCCTATTTCCTTTATATAGTTCCTTTTCTTTTATAGGAAGCAACTGAACAGGGATATTCTCCAGAATATGAATTCTGAAAGGACCAGCAAGCTACTAGAGTGTCTGTGCTTTTTTTTTTTTTTTTTTTTTTTTTTTTTAGTTCAAAGGCTTAAATCCCCAAGGGCGCCTGTAGATGTGCGAGATGTCTGCTCTGATGACACACTGTAATTACAGTGTGTCAAAGCAGACTCAATTAATCATGCTCCAGGAGACTTGGCGTCTCATGTATTCAGCTTCATGCTCCAAAATGGCAGCAGAAGCACTTTAACTAAAGCTCATCAAACAAGCTTTACTGCCACCTTTTTGAAATGCAGGATGCTGAATACACAAGACGTTGAGGGCGCTTTAATTAGTGTCTCTGGAGAGCCACTCTAATTAAAGTCTCTTCCAATTATGGCTGGTCCCCCAAGCAGATATCAGAGCTGGACACTGCTGCCAGATAATATGTTACCCTTTAGCTGAAGTGATAAAGGTTTGTACAGTACTTCGGTGATAAAGGTTCTGGAGCTCAGATCATGCTGATAATCCCCTTAGTGAGGTTCTGTATATATGCATATCATCATAATCATATGCAAGAAGAACACTCTTTATTTTCCTTCACTTGCTTTCTGCTCATGATGCTTCAACTCTACAACTGCAATTTGAAAGTTTCTTTGGCATTTCTAGAAGAAAAATATTCAACTATTAGCTAGGAAATACTGCCTCTTAGATGGCACAGGAATCGGGGTGGGGAGAACTAGTGGGGGATGGTCTCTTCCTACACACCTACGTAACAGTTAGATTGCAACCTTCAGATTAGGATTTCTCAAGCCTCTGAATGCTGGAAGCTCTAAAGGGGAAAGGGGCAGGCAATGGATCAAATCTTGAAAGGGCCTGAATTAATTTTCCTCTAATGAGCATACACCACTCTGTTACTTTAAGTGTTTAAACAGTTAGGAAAAAAGGCAAATCTCATGACTGGATTATCTTCCACCCCAAACTCAATAAACCAGTTTAGATGCTATTCTGCACTCATCTGCTGCTGGAAGGAGTTTGGTGTTGGATGTAAAACAAACTGAGAACAAGAAACTGCTGTTAAGAACAGCTTTCAAAAAAATCTACAACCCAGAACAAAATGAATTGAAAAACCAAAACCCTGTGCGCTAATGGAGAAGGGGCTATAACCTTCTGGCAAGCTTCCCTCAGTGTTTTATGCTTGTCTGATTTCACTTGCGATCATTTATAGACTCAAGAAGCACTCGCTTATGTAGAGAAGGTATGAACAGTCTGTTTAAGGTTCTACACAAAGGTCATTTTATTCTGCAGAAACTTGATGGGAAGATCCCACAGTGGTGTGGGGCAGTCAACTGCTAAAGATGTACAACGAGAAGAAGAACTGCCACAACTACACTAGGAGTTTAACCTGGCCTACTTAAAATGCGCTCTGTCAGCCAAACAGGCTCTGGCTCCGTTACATACTGTGTTCACTTGACATCCAGCTTCAGCACGTTAACTTAAGTCATTTGGTCGCAGCACTGGAATCCTTTCCCAAAAAGCAAATTTCATTGCTGCAATGTCTTGTGCTGATTTTTGTGGCTTTTCCCAAGAAGCATTTTAAAGCGATTAAGAGAAGACCAATTTTCATGTGGTTAATTAACTTAACCATCAAAATGTTTTTAGTTACATGATATAGACAGGTGTCTTGGCATTATAAAAAAAATTGTCTTAGAACCATCAAGGAAAAGGAAAAACTAAGGTCTAGAAAAAGAACCAAGGGATTGCTGGCAAAAATGAGGCTGTGCACAGAACATGGGAGAATTAAGCACTGAAATGACTTCTAGTAACATGTACAGAACACAGTCTTGAAGAGCCTGAATTAGGTCACACCATCTGCTCAGAATCTTTTGCTTAGTCTAGGCTTTATCCAAAAATCCAAAATGGTCACTATTAAGATAAAGGTGATGTACGTGACGGTTTCATTCACAGGTAGCTGCACTCTGTGCATTCTTAACAGGAGGACTGAGCAGTTACAGCTGTTAGAATGCAAAAAACCCAACTGCGTAATTAGAAGGTGTTTGTTAGCCAGCAAAATATAATAATAATAATAATAATAAGCCATTCTTGAAATGTTCAAAGCCCCTTATTCAAATGATTCCACAACCAAGAGGCACTAAAACTGATAAACTGTTATCCTTGCACAAGCTAATGAAACGTTCTTCTTTCCTCAGCATCTAGGAACCCTCTTATTTATGCTGCCTTTCATTAATCTTAGTGCAGGGTTTTCCGAATCAGGTGTTGAGAAGGTTGGAATATAACAGTGTTTGCCACACTACTGTCTCCTTTTGAAAGTCAAGCTAAATCAAACAGCAAAACAAATAAAACAAACAAAAACCCTTCAGAAAGTAACTGCAGAAAAAAATATAACCAGTAACTACTGGGACAAATCTACAGATCTTTGTTTGAGAGATGGGTAATACAACTAATTAGCAATATAGATCTCACCCCTACACTGAGATGATGTAACTACACTGTAAAATTCATCCTCTACCTCTACAGAATACATTTAGTCACAGAAGAGTGTCTATATACAATCAAGGACTGTGCTAAAATTGAATACAAGCACATTGTTATGGATTATAAGTATGTACCCAGCCCAAAGACACCACTGAATAAATCACAGGAAAACCAGAGCCATAGGGCAATTTGTTGCAGAGCTTAGGCACCTTCTTCCTCTTCCTCAAGGTGTATTCCTATTGCCCTACATCAAGATGTAGTGGGTATCTGATTTCCTTACAGGGTCCCAGTTTTTAGTTGGAAAGTCACCAACAACAGAAGTCAAGATCAGCCTAAACTCTGCAGTTTTACTTTCATCCCACACACCTTCATTATCCAACTCAGAGAAACTCACCTTAGTCCAGGGATGTGCCTTAATCTGAGGGAATTTGAATTCAGTGTAGTTTGGATTCATTTCTCTAATTTGCTCCCTTGTAGGCGTTCCCAGGACCTAGAAAGTGGAAAGAAGCAAATTGTTTACATGAACTTCATAAGTAGTGTCCCTAATGAAACAGGTTTGAAAAAAGTGGCAATTTTACAAGGAGCCATTTTCTGTGATGAAGAGGCATGGTAGAGAGAGCAGTCACAGAAGTCTTAGTAGCACCTTATTTAGCACAGGTAGCAGTCGAGTCCTTGACCACAGTACATTGTGTGGTTTGGATTTTGCAATGTACTTAAATCGTAAGTTTTTTCACAACTCAGACACCTTTTTCTCAAATTCAATGGTGTTTCAAGGAGGATTGGAAGCTGAATTTTACTGAATTAAAAATGTCGTTAATGGTATTGCTTGAAGATCATCCTTAATGTAATGGGCTGTAATTTATCATGTACCTCATTAAGGTACTGACCAACAGCATACCACCTGTATTTTAATAGTCACATGAGAACCTGCTGCCTAAAGGAGCAGCCAAACACTGTACAAAGAAGCAGATTTTTTTTAAGATTGATTTTCTTCATCTCTCAATGCAGAAGGGTAATTTAATAGACCTAGCTTTCAGGTTACATACCTGGGGTTAAGACCTTTACCCAAGAAATTCACATACAGAAAACTAAGGTTGATCAGTATGGGGCAGGAGAAGGGAGCTGTTCAGGGGAAAAAAAAACAACTCTTTGCTGGCTTAGGCAGGACAGTATGAATGGGATCCCTTCAAACAGCATTAATCTCAGAATTTCTAATCCTCTCAAAGAAATGCAAGGCCTAGAGCACTTTTGAATAAATCCACTGCTTTTTGGTTAAATTCAGTCACCTGAGATTCCCTGTTATTACAGAAGGTGATGGAGAGGTCTGGATGAAGTCTCAACCTCCACTCTCTTTGAACCTGGGTTCAATTATGCAATAATCCCACGTATGAGACAAGTATTTTGGTTATGGAAATGAACATCATGTGGCCAGTCCATCAGGAGGACTTCTGTGCACGGTTAAGCAGAAAGATGTCTAGATGTTTTGTCAGTGCTATAGCCCCTTTCTAAAAGAAAGGGCTGTTGCTGAAGACACTGTCCACTGTTTTCATGCTGTTGAGTCAACTTTTACAACAATAAAACTAAAAATAAAATCTGAAAGGGCAAAAAAGGCTGGAGAAAGAAAATAGCATTGGTTCAACACATCTTGCAGCAAGGGATTATAAAAGCAGATGACTTTTTATTTTTTTAAATAAAGCTCCATATTTTGACTTATTTTGAAGTTTTGTTAGGCCCAGGATTGAAAGCATCAGCGAGCAAAGCCGCCTGTTTTATCGCTACTACAACTCAGGCATCAGCTGAGCAGTACGTGTCCATCAAACCACCCCCTGTCAGTGGGCATCAGCCATGACCCAGGAGAAGTCTCCCAAGAGGAGTTAAGGTGGAGCTGTTCTTCACAGCCCTTCTATCCCTCAGGCTTTTTGCTGAGACTGTCAACAAAAGGACCAGTTGTATTCACAAACAACAGACAAACAAACACACTTAGACACTTGTCCTTTGGCTAAAGGATTTATATCAAACCATTTCATAGTGTGTACCGAACAACCTACTCCAATGTTTCTGGTCACTGACAGGCTAGGCTGGATTTGAAAAGGCAGCCTAAAAGTGAAAAGCTACAAAATTAAGAACTAGTCAAAAAACTTTCCAACAGCCATGTGGTTCTTCCAAAAAAGCCAATTTGCCCAAAGTGAAATGGTTTCACAAAAGCATGAAGATTTTGACAAATCCTTTAAAGGAAACCAGGTATATTTCCAACAAAAATGCCAGACGCCTCTCTATGGGAAGGTTGCAATCCACAGCTTTCTTGGCTCCTAACTTATGCTTCAAGGCTTGCCAAGTGGGCTGCTATGGAGCTCCACACCCCTGAGATCCCTCACAGCAACAAGATAGGCTGTTGTAGGGAGGAGGCACCAAATCTAAACATCATTTCACTCCTTGAAAAGAAAAGGACAGGAAAGGAAAAGGAAAGGAAAAGGAAAGGAAAAGCAATTGTCAAGGTTTTTTATTTGCATTTCAATTGAAGACAAAAAATGGTTTCCAACTAAAGGTGCACCGATACATCGGTCTGATATCGGATCAGTACTGGTGTAAAGAAAATTGACCGAATCAGAAAACAGCCTTTTTTTGCCTGATGCGGCTGATAATTTGGTTGATAAATGCCCCATGCATGTGTGCAGCCACAACACAGCATGTAGGAGGCAAGGAACAGAGCCCGGCAGCGTGGAGAGCTGCATCCAGCTGGTAAGTCTTTTGTGATGGATGGGGCAGGGGGAAGGAAGGGGCATGGTGGGGGGCACATCAAGACCCCCGAGGTGAGGGAGGGAGTGGCGCTGTGGGGCTAGGGCAGGGGCTGGGGCAGGTACTGCCCAGTCAGGGCGGGGTGGGACACAGGATGGAGCCACAGCTCATCCAGGGGGCAAGGGGAAGGGGGCACAGCTCCTGCCAGCATGCACACCCCAGGAGGGCATGGGGGGGTGGAGGCATGTGCCCTGGATCTGCACACACGGTGCAGGCAGGCTGCAGCTGCGGGTTGGGCTGGGCTGCACTTGGGGTGGGACAGGCAGCAGTGCTAGGAGGGGGAGTTGCGGGGGTGCTATGGCAAATATTGGGTTGGCTCCAGCCCCCCTGTAGCCTCCCTCCCAGCATCACCACTGTGCACCCCAGGCGCAGCCCCAGCTCCACCCCACCCGCAGATAGTTTCATAGTTGGTAGGGTCAGAAGGGACCTGAGCAGACCATCAAGTCCAACCCCCTGCCATGGGCAGGAAAGAATGCTGGGTTCAAACAACCCCGGCTAGGTGATTATCTAGCCTCCTTTTGAAGACCCCCAGGGTAGGAGTGAGCACCACTTTCCTTGGAAGTTGGTTCCAGGTCTTAGTTGTCCTGACTGTGAAGTAGTGCTTTCTGTTATCTAGCCTGAATCTACTCTCAGTCAACTTCCGGCCATTATTCCTAGTTACTCCTCGTAGTGCTCAGGGGAACAGGGACTCTCCCATTCCCCACTGGTCCCATCCTGCGCCCCATGCCCTCCCGGGGTGTGCGCAATGGCGGAAGCCACCCCCCCCCCATAAGCCACAGCTCCATCCTGTGTCCCACCCCGGCAGCGCCTGCCCCAACCCTAGCCCCACTCCCTCCCTCAGCGCAGGGGCCTCTATCTGCTCTGCCCACACCCCTTCCCTTGCCCCACAACAGACTTACCAACCGGACATTGCTCTTCAAGCTGCCAGGCTGTGTATCAGAAATTGGATCAGCATTGGCAAACATGCCTCCTTAAAAATCGGCTATTGGTATCGGTCCCAAAAATCTCTATCAGTGCACCCCTATTTCCAACACTTCAAAAATTGTTGAAGTTAAATTCCCTTTCCCAGGCACCAACTAGTCTATATTTTAGTCTTTATAATATAGATGCTATATATATTCATAGTTAATAGGGTCAGAAGGGACCTGATCAGACCATCAAGTTCAACCCCCTGCCATGGGCAGGAAAGAATGCTGGGGTCAAACAACCCCGGCAAGGTGATTATCTAGCCTCCATCAAACGCTATATAGATATAGATATATAGCATTTGATGAGGCAGGCTGTAGCCTAGGAAAGCTCAAACCCCTCTGAATGAGTTAGCCTATACAGTGCTACCCTTCCTACCTTCTGTTTAATTTCAGGATAACACAGCTAACCACTTCTTTCTAGTCCGGGGTAGGCAACCCCTGGCATGTGTGCTGGAGCATGGCAATGGAAAGGCATTTTGTTTGGTACTTCCATCTTGGGGAAGTGGTCAGGGCTGTATGCTACAACAAGGATCAGGCCCCTTGTGGCTCCCCTGCTGCCCGCCCCTCACACAACATCTTACAAGTTGAGGTTGCGGGTGTTTTCAGCACTCTGCCCAAAAACACTGCCAACCCCTACTTTCCCCCCAATCAAATCCCAAAGCCTTATCAGTTTCAAAGCTACCCCAGTATTACAGTCCTTGTTTAAATAACAGATTGTGCCCTTCTGCTCCCCTTCCAAAAAAAAAGAAAAGGAAAGAAAAAAGATGACACTTCACTGTAATGGCTAGTAGAAAACAACAATTGAATGCTGCAGATAATCTGGTCTGAGGAAATGTACTGAATCAGACAAAGTATTTAAAAAAGAATAAGCAGTCTATAGCGCATACATTCTTACTTGTATATCAGTTGGATTCTGTCAGATCTCATAAGCAAAGGTGGATCAGAATAATTTGACTGGGAGACCTCCAGACAGTACCCACCTGGAAGCACTGCAAGAACAGTGTTAACAACTTGGAGGGAAGCAAAAGGTACAGCCCCGATCAGACACCAAAGATGGGGAGACAGAAGCATACTAGTGAAAAACTTGTTGAATTCTAGCAGTAAATATTGGGGGACACAAGACTCATGGTTGCCTACTGGGCCAAATAGGTGATGCTGACAAAACTCCAGTCTATTTTGACATGCCAAGCACTATCACCATCAATGGGAAAGATGCAAAATCTGTAATTTAGTGAAGTACAAGAAACGAAAAGTCGTGAATTACAATGATGTTAGGAGTATTGGCGGATGGAAGGAAATTGACACCCTATATGATTTGGAAATGAAAAGCTCTGCCAAAACAAAAACTGCCACCAGGAATAGTTGTTAGGTGCCAGGAACAAGGATGAATGTCAAGTGAGCCCAGACTAGTTAGATGAGTGAAGCAGAAGACCTGGAACATTGCTGAAGAAAAGAGGAACATTAGTGTTAAACACATTTTGAGGACATATAACACCACATGCAAAAGCAAAAACGTGGTCGGCAAGTTGTGGTCTTGTAATCATCTGGTAGTATGACAACTTCATATGCTGGATGTCATAATGAACAAGAGCTTAAAGGACCATTTATAATGTCAGTACTCAGACTGGATCTTGGCACAGAAACACAAGCTTACACCTGGCAGGAAGATTAAGGAGCCAACCACAGCACTGCTTTACTAATGGATTCTGACTTCTTAGGGAAAAGA